ACAAACAAACAAACATATATTAATTAAATTATAAATACATCAATTCATGTGAATATGACTGAAATATTTCATTTTTTTCTGAAAAGGTGGTGTCTATTTACTTGTGACCAGTGAGTAAATTTGTTTTTACCTATTACAACACCCAAAAAAAACTATTCAAAAATTGTGTGAAGACAGCCGTTTTCTTTGTAACATCTCAACAGTAATTGGCGGGATTAATTTAACTCCTTTTTTATGATTCGTATGTTATTAAATGCTGTAACTAAAAAAAAAAAAAAACAGATACACGAACTTGTGTATAAATACTTTATAAAAACATTTACTGGTATGTATTCTAACTTCGCAAGTTTAGTACAAATTATTTTTTACCCTTCGTTTGCGGCTTTTGTAAATTTGCCTGTCACCCCATGCGACGGGCCATTCAAAATGTTGTGCGCAAAATGCTTGAACCATATGATGTCAACCGCAGTCGTCTACTCTAACATCATATGATGTCAACCGCACTTGAAGGGTTAAAGAAAATGTGGATAAACTTTTCCTCCATCTTGCATATAAAATATCTTATGAAGCTTTACATAAAAAAATCAATAATATCAAATAATTGTTGTGTAAATATGGTTTTCCTATTTTCTGATGGACAGAATACTTCATAACTGTTAGGATAAGCGAAATTTTAGTAGACAATTCACATGCAAATTCCGAAATATCCTGCTGTTATTGTCTTGCTTTACAATAGTATATATTCTTTGATTATTAAAAAAATCAGTTAAGAAATGTACGTCGTAGGGTTTACCCCTAAGTACAGTTGAGATGCTGTTTTAAATCTAATTGCCGTCTACAATTTATTATTAGATTTAAGAATCTTTTATGAAGTTAGGTGTAAGGAACATCGATTGGAGTTGAGAGAGGTGAGAAAGCGTCCGGCTTTTGGTTAATTTCTAAGGGACTAGAGGATTACTCTAAGTCATTAGAATGTGATTGGAATGAGCATCCACCTTTCTTATTCAGTTGGTACAGATATTACAATACCTTCTTTGATTAGGAAACGTTATAACTCGATATAAATGAAATAGCTGTGCAAGGTCCAAAGAAAGAAGCCAGTTCGGGGTGGGTTTTAGAAAGGAATTTAAAGGCAGGAGTGCTACGAAAGCGAAGAAAAAGACTGAGAGGTGTTAAAGAGAATGAATAAACCAAAAGAGGCAAAGGAGGAAAGTAATATTCTACCAGTAAGAAACAAAATCTAGTTTTAAATCTATGTGGTATTAATTATAGTTGTAAACAGCAATTTGTAAACATTAGTGTGAGCCAATTCTTAATAGGAGAAGTACGACCTAAATGGAATAGATAGACATAAGAGAAAAAGGAAGTGCGAGTATAGCACGATCGTATCAAAGTGGTATTAAAGCGATCTACAGCAGAACCATATTCCAGCATCAAAGTCATCTAATCTAACTTAACAATTTATTAGTCCACAGGCGGTTGAACATATTTGAATTTGGGAAAGCACCGATAATTGAGAGCAACTTATTTCCTATCTTAACCACGACCACCAAATTCAAAACTGAAACAGTGACTTTCCATGAAGGTTATATAGAAGGCTCTATTCACCATTCAAAGGAGCACTTTGCCATCGGACCAAAACTGATAATACGTACCACCAGTGCCTCCCCGGGTTCACCGGCTATGTTGTATCTGATTTCAGCGAGGCAATATTATGCACAAAAAAAAAATTGTTAACTCGTGTTAAAGTTTGTTTTGGTTTAAATTTCACGCAAAGCTACACGAGGGATATCTGCGCTAGCAGTCCCTAGTGAAAGACTAGAAGGAAGGCAGCTAGTCATCACCACTCACCGCCAACTCGTGTTAAAGAACAAGCAAACTGAGATCCACAACTACATCGAGTGTACTTGAATATCCCCTAGGTGAGCGTGACATAGCCATCCATTCAAAATATTTTGTATTATTGACGATTTTTTACTCAAGCACACAATTGACAGAATAATTTAGGTATATAATGCTATCCTATATATTTATTTAATTATTGTTAATCAACTCTTTCACTTTACCTACTCTATCACTTCATAT